ATGGTTCAAGAATCAACTATAACATGTTAGTCCGATGCTTAATTTTCACGGAATCGTGGAGAATAATATATCTACACTATTCTTTCATCCTCTCTTTCTCCTGAACTTTGACATCTCGACCTGGTAATAGTGGGATGATACTTAGGCCTAGTGGCAAGGTGAGTTGACACCTAGGCCTGGTGACAAGGTGGGTCGACATCTCGACCTGGTAAAAGTGGGTCGACACTTAAGCCTAGTGGCAAGGTGAGCTGACACCTAGGCCTGGTGACAAGGTGGGTCGACATCACGACCTGGTAAAAGTGGGTTGACACTAAGGCCTAGTGGCAAGGTGAGTTGACACCTAGGCCTGGTGACAAGGTGGGTCGACATCTCGACCTGGTAAAAGTGTGTTGACACTCAGGCCTAGTGGCAAGGTGAGTTGACATCTAGGCCTGGTGACAAGGTGGGTCGACATCTCGACCTGGTAAAAGTGGGTTGACACCTGGGCCTAATGGCAAGGTGGGTTGACAATTGTGCTCTCTGACGAGCTCTTAATGACATAAAATTTAGTCAGGATGAAACCGACCTTGTTGGGCCGAGAGCGTCCCAATCTCAGGATGGCCGTGTTAGCATCTAGCAACTAGATGCGCTACTGCTCAGTGGGATGTGCTTAGATCAGAGCCTATGACAGACTTGTGTGAAGACTGGCTCATATAGTATTCGGCTGGCAGCCGAGTGGTGAGCAAGTGTAACCCTTGTCCATGTCATTTGTGCTTGTGTTTACTGAATTATGACCATAATATAACAATGAGTGGAGATGCCCTCCTTCAGGTATTTCCAACGGTGCTGTTGATTCTAGAAGAAAAAAAAACTTTGTGGGGCTGTTTTGATTTTTTTACTGTCAAAAATTGATAAATGGTGGTTCTTTGTAACGTTTCACCTGGTACAATTGAGAAATTGATATTGAAAGAAAAATATATCTCGAGAAACGGAAACTTCAAAATTCATCTGAATGGTTTCCGAGATGTTGAACATTGGAAGAGAAACGTTCCCAGATAATCACCCTGTACTTCAGCCGGTTGAATTTTGAATTGAAGAAGTTATATAGTTCACAAAGACAACAATAAATACTCACATGAACTTTCCATTCAACAACTGCGAAGCAATGATTTCAACTAAATAGCTTTGACGAGTGCTGTCAAACGACCCCTTCAAAGAATACGGCGGTGGCCTGTAGAATGGACTCCAAATTGAAGTTATTCAAGTAAGAATGGATGGTTTTTTCATCCGTCTTGAATTTTTTGTAACTTGATCCAGCCGAATCTTCAACATCAATTACTATTGAAGTTGGAGAACTACTTGCCACTAGTGTGAAAATAAAAGTTTCATTCACAACCATATATGTAATGTTGTCATCACTTACGTCATTGAAGGTTAGGGAGTGTCACATTACACACCTCTACTTCCCGCCCCCACTTCCCGCCTCTCACTACTTTCCGCTCTCACTTTCCGACTCCACTCATGTAATAATTCAAGTATGTTCAGAACGAAACATAGATTTATTGATTTTGATCGAAATATGATGGTTGTGAATAAAATGGTATACAAACCTCGGTAGGAAGTTTTACTCCTCTCTCGAAATTATAGCTTAACTCGACGCTTTACGTCTCGGTTAACTAACTAATCTCACGACAAGAATGAATCACTTTCCACCCCGGTGTGTAATATACTATTTTTTGCTTCAGCTGTATAGTCCGAGGTATACGAGTTATGGTGTCTGCAAATCAGAAGAAGTCACTTATATTATTTCTTCTGCCTGCTTTCTTTCTTCAGTGTTGTTGTCAGCTGTATCTTTCAAACTTAAAAAAGGAATAGAATAGTAAAATGGAATAAAAATTGACTGAATCAACTCACTCATGCAAGTCAATCATTATTATGTTGTCATTCTCGATTTCTATAAAATTTCTGTTTCTCTTCAGCTTCGCGTTGTCCTTATCGACTTGAGCCTGAACATCAACACTCGTGAGATATTTAAAATTTTTTTTTTTCAAAATACAATCGCCTGCTAACTTTGGGAATCAATTCAATAATACGGGAACTATCTCTGGTAGTATTTCCAATGTGATAACTTGTTCTGGAAATAATGAAAATTTGTATCCAGGTATTAGGTTGCTGTGATTATTGTGTACAAATTCAGCATGGAATTACTGTTAGCTGGATTGTTTGGTACTATTTTGAATCAATTGATATATATTCGCAAAAACCGCTATATGACTATTTCTCTCCGTGTATGATTTCTGGCATTCAGTTTGCCTGCTTTGAGAATTGATTCAAAAACGTATTCGGCTAATTTCAACCTGAAGCGCGTTAACCTAGAACTCAGATCTTTGATACTCTACTGAAGCCTTGTGATGGGTGACAACAAAAACTTGTCTCCCAAACAAATATTGATAAATGGTGGTTCTTTGAAACGTATCACCTGGTACAATTGAGAAATTGATATTAAAAGAAAAACATATTTCGAGAAGAAGGAACTTCAAAATCCATCTCAATGGTTCCCGAGATGTTGAACATTGGAATAGAAACGTTCCCAGATAATCACCCTGTACTCCAGCCGGTTGATTGTTGAATTGAAGAAGTTTTCTAGTTCACAATGACTACGATATATACTCACATGGACTACATTCAACAACTGCGAAGCAATGATTTCAAGTAAATAGCTTTGACGAGTGCTGTCAAACGGACCCTCCAAAGAATACCAGCTAAGTATGGCTTGACCAACGGCGGTGGCCTGTAGAATGGACTTCAAATTAAAGTTCTTCAAGTGAGGATGGATGGTTTTTCCATCCGTCTTGAATTTTTTGTAACTTGGTTCAGCCGAATCTTCAACATCAATTACTATCGAAGTTGAAGAACTACTTGCCACTGGTGTGAAAATAAATGTTTTTTCACAACCATATATGTAATGTTATCATCACTAACGTCATTGAAGGTTGGGAAGTGTCACATTACACACCTCTACATTCCGCCCTCACTTCCCGCCTCTCACTACTTCCCGACCTCACTTTCCGACCTCACTCATGTAATAATTCAGATATGTTCAGAACGAAACATAGATTTATTAATTTTGATCGAAATATGATGGTTGTAAATAAAATGGTATACAAACCTCGGTAGGAAGTTTCATTCCTGTCTCGAAATTATAGCTAACCTTGACGCTTTGCGTCTTGGTTAAGGAATGAATCACTTCGGTGTGTAATATACTATTCTTTTGCTTCAGCTGTATAATCCAAGTTATGAGAGTTACGGTGTCTGCAAATCAGAAGAAGTCTCTTATATTATTTCTTCTGCTTGCTTTCTTTCTTCAGTGGTGTTGTCAAGGGTGTTGTTGTCAGCAGTATATTTCAAACTTAAAAAAGGAATATAATAGTGGAATGGAATAAAAATTGACTGAATCAAATCACTCATGCAAGTCAATCATTATTATGTTGTCATTCTCGTTTTCTATAAATTCCTGTTTCTCTTCAGCTTCACGTTGTCCTTATCGACTTGAGTCTGAACATCTCGTGAGATATTTTCAAAATATTTTTCAAAATACAATCGCCTGCTAACTTTGGGATTCAATTCAGTCAGTACTCATATTCGCAAAAATCGATATATGACTATTCCTCTCCGTGTATGATTTCTGGCATTCAGTTTGCCTCCTTTGAGAATTGATTCAAAATCGTATTCGGCTAATTTCAACCTGAAACGCGTTGACCTAGAACTCGGATCTTTGATACTCTTCAAATGCTTCAAAAGCCTTGTGATCGGTGACAATAACAACAACTTCTATCCCAAACAAATATTCAATTGAATTTATTGATGCTGAAACAGATTCCTGTATACGAGAAAAATACCCTACTGGTTCGTTATTGTACATTGGATTTGTTGTTCTATTATCAATTCTGATACAAATACCTGTAATCACCTCACAGCATCTTCTACATGACTTACATTTCTTGCAACAACAGAAGTATAAAATAATACATAATGAAATGATGAACAAAATAGCTAACACACTATTAGTTTTCGAGAACGAGTTTGGCATCCAGATAAAATTAACTCTTCGTTAAGGCCAGAGAGCTTTTTCCTTGCGAGATCCAAATCATCTAAATGCTTACTCACAACTGAAATTTGAATCTTAATGTACCTCAGGATAATAAATTTTCTTTATTTCTCCTGTTTCATATAACAGATTGATTGCTGGGATGAAATTTTGGATACTTTTATAAATACTGGTAGGTACTTTATCAGGTATGAGAAGAGCACTTTGATAAAAGCTTTACAATTTTCTTTGAAGTCAATCTTCCGGTTTCTTCAACAAATCCATGGTAGATTTGACTTCGACAATTTATACTAACACGTTATGGAGAATTCAAAACAAGAATAAAATTATCGGAGAATGCGAATTCTCAATGTATTTCCCTCAATATATATATATCCTTTTTTTGTGTTCATAATCTGATAATATTCATTCTCAATAATTAACTCGTATTGATCATTATGCAACTGACTTTTTCTTCAATTTTCATAGTGTATACCCGAAGATTGCAAACTTGGTGATGAAGTTATTTCCGTGTTTCGCTGTCCCATGCAGTCTCGCCAAAATATCAGCGAAAGTCTGTAACAAAAATATCCCGGTACTCGTGATACGGTTTTATTCTATTCTTGTGTACTTTGATGAAGTGTTTTTCGTGTTGTTTCGTACAATTTACATCTGAGTCGATTGAAACTATTCGCTATGGCCCTGTATATCGTGGAAAAAGTTTTTTTACTTCGACTTGATATCAGTGACTCGTCGGTTAGCACGACCTCATCATTGACTTGATATGTCACATTTTTTGTTGCTTCATTATTTGTGCTATTTCATATCTTGTAATAGGAATGCCTTCGACAATATATTTCCTTGATTATAAAATAATGAAATTAATCTCCACTATGACTCAATCACAATCCACTTAAAAATTTTGTACTTTCAGGACCTTCCACAGATAATGCGGATTGGCTATGGAATAGTTATAGGAATATTCATACTCATGATGTGGATTTCTATGATAGAAACGAAAGAAACAGAATCCGTGCAGTATCCACCATGTTTCTTCAATAGTTTGTGTAGTTGCTCCAAATCTATACCTGATCTGGGAATTGTTAGATGTCAGAATGTGCACTTGCCAAGGATACCAGAAACTGTAAACATCTCGAAAGTTTTCATGCTGCACCTAGAAAACAATCAGCTACGAACGATTGATCCATTCTTCTTACAAAGTACAGGTAAGATACTAGGTGAAAAAAATGTATATCGAAGTAACCTTGATATTTCTGTATATATATCCCGAACATATTCTCTTTCGACCACTTCTATACGTATTCAATATTGTACAACTAATAAATCTAATGAAACTTAACGGGATGAGAGAAAACTCGAAATATTCTTATTGTGCGTAAAACCAGCCATCGCACGAATTTCATACCTATCAAGATTGTCGATCCATTCTGCTGGACGGGTTGGCAAGGAATCAAACTCTCTTTTTGTATCTCACAGTAATTACGAATTCTATCAAGGCGTTCTGACAGACTTATTCGATTCCATTCCAAATCTATATTGTGATATAATTTTTTCATCAGTCATCATCAATAAAATCACGGTAGTATTCCTAAAAAAATGTATCGGGTGATAAAGATAATTTAACTCATTCGGGTCTCTGAATTATATGTATTGTCCCATCTGCTGGCATATTGCGCAGAGGATTATGAAATATTGATCCCTAAAGCAAATAATCTGGCACATATAGTATAAATACGTATAGTACTTGAATGAAGTTGTAATAATGGGATGGTGGATATAGAACCGCCAACTTCGTACTGAACTTCCTAGTCCCTAGGTATAGAAGACTCAATAGTTCGACTCATTGAGGGTTTAGAGTGACGATGAGGATAAGGTAGTTAGATTGCATATATTACCAGAACTGTTTCACATACAATGCAGCAAATGAAGCATTACCTATCTGTCAAATACTCAACAAATACCATGAGCTCCACTATAGTCATTGATGTAGTTTTATGGCTACTTTCTCGGATGACATACTGATGTTTGCTGCATCCAACGTTCTTTCGCAATTCAATTATTGTGTACTAACTAGTCACCTTGATTCAGATGATATGTATCAGTTTCATCCTGACGCCAAAATAGTAGTAGGCACCAATACAGGGTGTTTCACAGGTAAAGTTGAATATTCCAATGGTAGAAAGAGGTAGCTGAGGTGGTTCTGAGAATACCATATTCGATGCTTCTGATAATCTTCATAACAGAGATACAGGGTGATTTTGGATAATAATCAACTCGTCCATAAGCATTAAACCACCCAGTATATCTTCCTCGAATTTGGTATGTAGTTCATATTTGGGACGTTGAATTTATTGACTTATCAGGCGGAATGAAAATCCAGGTTCGGTTTCAGGACATATTCACATTTTATTCGGAATATAAAAGAACACTCTGTATATAAAAATTACCAAACTTCATCAGAAGAATTGTGAAGAGAAGGAATTTGATACTCCATCAATCAATTCAAAGTTTGACGTGACAAATATCCAGAAAAGTTGTTGTTTTCTGTTGGATATTCAGAATGATGTTATGTGCAGATACAATATTTGCATCTGAAGGAGAATGCAAATTATCAACTTCGGAAGATTTTGTGTTAAAATTCTTGTCGTGTGTGTTAGTGAAGCATGTATTCACCATAATAGCTACATATAAGAACGATTTGCCTCATTACAATATGAACAGGAAAAAAAAATACATACATACATAAATGAAACCTATCCTAGCAAAATGAATAAAATAAAATATAACCACTAACACTTATCTAAAACACATTTTCTCATGTTCAATAGATATAATTCAATATTGGTCGTGGCATGTAGCCAGAAAAGTAGCTGTTTTAGATAAACCGAGAGAGAATCAATATTCTGATTATATAGGGAATGCGAGTTCTCAATGTATCTCTTCATATTATATATACAGGGTGTCCTGAGATGAAAACGAAAAAAAATATATGTCATATAGAAATGTCCAAAACCGCTTCGTTACTGACATACAAATTGATTTATGGATATTGACATAAGATTCAGTCCGCCATATTGAATACACGGATTATTAGGAGTTTGGTTTCAGCTGTGATAGTGTGAACATCGTTTATGAATAGTGGCTGACTTACTTCGATCTTACTATGAAAGTGAGTTGAAATCCTTTGATTCGAGATTTTTCACGCTCTGGTTCGACCTGTTGAACATACCTTGTTCCGACAAACACAGTGATAAGAAAAAAAAACGGTTGACTTCTTTTACATCTGTATTTAACTCGACACACATTTTGCTCGATATGTCTGCTACCTGCCATGCGTGTGATGAATCAATCCAAAGCAAAGACGCTATTGTTTGCTCAGTATGTGGCGAGCCAGCACATGGAACTTGCGGCCGTCTCCAATCCAGTGCGGACGGCAAATCACGTACCTGGACTTCGATATCTGCATACTGCGTATGAATTCATCCGCTGCACAACTCAGTGATATGACACCCTTGAATACATCTCACTTCGATGCTATCATGAAACAGCTCTCTGTTGTAACGAATGCAGTTACATGCTGCAACAATAAGATCGAAGAACTGAGCAACATACTCGTGACTCATACATCAGAAATTTCTGACTTGCGCACACAAAATGATGATCTGTTGGGAAAAGTATCCATTCTTGAACAAAAATTCAGCACATTGAACCGTTCCTTCCCTTCAGAAAAATTGTACGCAGAGGCTGCTGATAGAATCAAACGTGAAAAAAACGTTATTGTATCAGGTCTACCCGAAGGTACTACAAACAACTCAGATATCTCACAAGTGGAGCACTTTCTCAACAGCTTTGTGCCTGATGTAACAAGCTCAGTGAACTCTGTTTTTCGTCTGGGGAAGAACACGAGTGATCCTCAAAAACCCAGATTAATCAAAATTATCTTACAATCTGCAGAAGCTGCTTCAATCATCCTCAAAAACAAAACGAATTTCGCAAGGTCTCACTATCCACATGTGAAAATAACACCAGATTTTACCGAGGCGCAAATCAGTTATCTGAAAAATCTGAGAGAAGAACTGAAAAATCGAACAGAAAATGGTGAAACAACCATCACTATCAAATACATAAATAAAATACCTCAAATTGTTTCAACCAAAGCTATTGAAAACTACAAGCGCCAAAGGGACGAAGATGAATCCCCAAGACGAAACTCCGGGCTAAAAATCACAAAAACTATCGCATCAGCAAAACAGGACTAGCAACCAATTAATCTTACATTCTGGAACTGCCAAGGATTCAACAATGTGAACAATTTTCTTCAGGACGCGGCTGATACACATGTTTTGTGCTCAAGTGAAACGTGGATAACTCACAATTATATATCACTTCCCTCCCCGTCATTCCACTCTATATCATCGCAAGCTATAAAAGGAAAATCCTTAGGTAGGCCCAGTGGTGGACTTTTTATATTTTATGACAAATCACTCAAAGCGCAAATCTTAGATAAATCTCCTTGGTGGTTAATTGCTTCGTACGAAAAACCTGGAATGAAATTTATTATATGTAGTGTCTACATCAACCTCAAATTAGATGTAAACTATTTACTAGAGCTTCTCCAGAACTCCCTCACAGAAATAATTGAAAGTTTTAATGATATTTTGATAATCATGGGTGGAGATTTCAACTGCCGCGTGGGAGAAGCTGGAGTAACTTCTGAAGAAGCTCTAGAAAATTTCAATCTGTATGAGCGTAGGTTGAGCTCAGATAGTATAATAAATACCAGAGGGCGTAGGCTTCTGGAATTCATGCATGGAAATTCTTTCACTCTATTGAATGGTAGAACCTCCTTTGACAGGCCTGCGAATTACAGGTATGTGAGCAAAATGTGTTGTAGTGTTATCGATTCAGTTTGGGTTAATAATACACATCTTCACTATATACATAATTTGTCCGTTCTAAACGAAAACAGCATTTCCGATCATTTTCCTCTACTCCTTTCGTTAAATAATGAACAATGTACTATGATAAATAATATATCCGGAAAAAATACATCTGCTAGTGAGAATATTTTCTACTGGGATGTTACACTTAGCCTAAACTATAAACTAGCCATGCAGAACTCTCACAGAGCTGTATATTTGTCAGACATACAATCCTCCTATGAAAATTTCTCATTGGCCATACAAGAAACTGCCAATTCCTTAGGCCTCACTAAAAAAATCTACTTGAATCCAAAACCCAATCTTGATAAACCTTGGTTCGATCATCAATGCCTCGAGGCAAAAAAACAAATGAATGCTGACCTAAAGCTCTGCAAAAATAATAATTTCTCTTCCGTTAGTAGAGACATTTTCCTGAAATCTAGAAAGACCTATAAAAACACCATCAGATGGAAACGCGATCAGTTTCAGAATCGAATTTCAGACCAACTAACTAATGTCAGAGATACAAGAACTTTCTGGATGACCATCAAGCAATTTCGAGGAGTCACTTTCCAAAAAAACTTACCTACGAACGTTTGGGAGAATTTCTATGAGAACTTGTATCCAAATAGACTTGTTGATAACACTTTTTTCCTTGATGCCCGTAATCCTCACCTGGACATTTCAATTTCTTTTGACGGATAAAATATCAGCAAAAATGAAAATATTGTCGTGAATCAGATTTCTGTCACACCCAGTACAACTTTTATGTCAGCAAATTCTTGCTTTTATTTGAATAAACAATGTTAGGAAAACATAGCAATGAGTTGTTGGCAGACTAGGGCGTTGCTAGGCGGGCAGTTGGGTAGTGAGAGTGCCCAAGTATGTTTGGGGGTCGCAATGGGAGCGTAATTAGGAATGAATAGCAAGTAAGTCACATGCTTCTTTTCATTCTCAGTATGTAACGTCAGTGAGAAGAGATTCATTCTGAATAGTTGAATAAAATGTTATTGATTTGTTATTAAATTTCTGTTCGTACTTTCTCTGCCCTACCTAGTCAGTCGTGAACCACCCCTATTCACGACAAGTGGTGGAGGCACCGAATGGCGATGTTTATATAAAAAATTGAATCAATATAGATATAATAATTGTTGACGAGGAGGTCAGACTCGACCTACAATTCATTGTGTAATTGCTACCATATGTTAGTCTCTAATTTCTCGGTACGACTAGGTAGGTTGTTGGCCTTGTTGCTGACAGTACACATTTGTACTATATTATAT